CTGCTTTAGCTTCATCCCACAAGTTTAATATGTATACCCTTGGTGTATATTAGTTGTGCAGTTCTATATATTCTGCATTTGCATTGTGATTTCTGCTTTAATCCAAAAATTATTTAGGAATGTGCTTTTTAGCTTCCAAACATGTCTGTGTTTATTTTTCATTGTTTCTGTTTTTGATCTCTTATTTCTTTGTGTCAGAGGATGTGGTCTATGCAATCTCAATTCCTGAGAAACCCTAAACTGTACCCGCAGGTGGTACACTCCAGCTCCTGAGTAAGGCCTCAGAACTCCCATCACCTTTGCCTCAGTGAAGAAACATGCCAATGAAATTGCTGGCCGTCTGCCACTGAGCAGAGATACCAAACAGATGGTTCTGCATTTCCTAAAAGTCCCCAGAGGGCCTGAGGAAGAAAGTGTTGAGTATCTACCTGTGTGGTACCCCCAAACTTGAGTCTAGGAACTAGATTGTTCTGCTCCTCCTGTGAAGATGAAACCTAATGTTCTTGGCTACAGCCATGCCTGAAGGAGAAGGCAGGCAGGCATGGTCCAGGGCTCACGCCGGAACTTCTGTGCTAGTGAGAGCTGAAGGGCAACAGCTCCTAGGTGTTAGCAGACTAACTGGGCAGGGCTCTCTATCTCTATCAGGGCTGTCCTTATCCTCACAGCAAACTGTAGAAGCAGGGGGAGGGTGTGGTGTGTGCAGATGGTAGGTCTGAGGAGCCTGTGCTGGCCTCTCCAAGTATTGAGTACTTACCGGAGTCTACTGTGCTTTGGCTGTTTCCTTGGGATCATGAAAAATTTAAGCCCTCAAAATGAAAGGCTCAAGAAATTATCCTCAGTCCCTATCTCACACAAGAGGAAGCCCAGTGTTGGCCCTCTAAGTAGGTTGCAAGATCCCAAGAACCAGAGCAGGGCAAATTGATCTATGAACAGCATGATGTCATCAGACTGAGAGAACCAGACAGGCAGAGAATTCTGGGAAGAAGCAAGCAAAAGGTAATTGCAGAAACTAGAAAAGAGCAAGAAAGTCTAAAGCAGAGATTGGAAGATGAAGATCAGAGGAATTCTGTCAGCCACAGGGACATAGTTACAGCCCTTTATTTTTATTTTATATTGGTTAATGCCTTCTTTCTGCTTTCTTTGGATTTATTTTTTCTAATTTCTTGAATTTTTAATTCATTTGTTTTGTTCTTTGCTGTTTATTAATGTAATTAATACTTTGCAGGGCCAGCCCCATGGCCGAGTGGTTAAGTTCTTGCGCTCTGCTTCGGCGGCCCAGGGTTTCGCTGGTTCGGATCCTGGGCACAGACGTGGCACCGCTCATCAGGCCACGCTGAGGCAGCGTCCCACATGCCACAACTAGAAGGACCTGCAATTAAAAAATATACAACTGTGTACTGGGGGGATTTGGGGGAGAAAAAGCAGGGGAAAAAAAATGATTGGCAACAGTTGTTAGCTCAGGTGCCAATCTTTAAAAACAAAAAAAACCTTTGCATTCTTTAAGCAGTTCTTCAATTTTATCTTTAGTTTTGTCTTTAGTTTGTGATATAGTTTAAAAAATTTATTGTTGTCATTACTTCCTAGATACTTAAAATTTTAATTTGGGCTTTCTCTTTGACTCAAGAATTAGAAGATATTTAAAAATTTCCAGATAGATTTTTTTGTGAATTTCAAGTTTTATTGTATTGTGATTGGAGAAAACTGTTTCTGCCATCTCTACTAAGTGGAATGTATTAAGCCGTTGGTCTAATTTTGTAAATGTCCCATGGGCATTTGAAGAGTCTGTTCTCTGTTCTCAGGGCAATTAGATCTAACGTATGAGTCAGGTTACTTAGTTCTTCTGTATCTTTTTTCTTGTGAACTTCTTTATCTGTCATGGACCTCAAAAGTGAATTAGAGCCTCCTACATCTAATGTCCTTCTGTTTAGTTCTTTTTCTATTTCTTACAGATTTTGCTTAATGAATTTTGATGTTACTTTGTTTTCTTTATAGAAATTCTTGACTGTAATATCTGCATTGTGGATTGTATATTTTATCATTATAAAGAACCTTTTTTTTTTTTTTGCCTTATTTAATGCTTTTGCCCCCCACACCCCCCCGAATTCACCTCATCTGGTATAAGATTGTGACTTGATTTTTTTTCCTTGCATTTCACTGGTATACCTGTACCATCTTTTATTTTCAACTTTTTTGACATTTTTCTGAGGATATTTTTCTTTCAATAGGTGGATTTATTGCACTGACATTTGTACATATGGCTTAGTTCTGTATCACATTTTATGAGCTGCTTTCTGTTTTTAAGGATTCTTTTAGTTTGTATCTTTCTCTGTTGGGTGTATATTTCTTTAATTTGTTTCATGTGTATTCTTTCTGATAATTTAAGAAGATTTGTATTCCGTTTTGGCTCTTCTAGTGGGGAGCTTTATACTATAACTTTTAAAAATGTACTTTATCTTCTATTTCTTTAGACCATATCTGTTCCCCACTACAAGCAATGGCAAAATTATTATACTTCCATTCATCCCATCTCCTTTACCCCACCTAATTTTAATCAATATATTATTATTGTTAGTTCTTCTAGTGATCATTGCTACACTTTTGAATATAATTCTATCTCTGTTATTTGGTTTATAAAGTATAAATATTATCTTTTGACCTTGCATATTAAAGATAAGGAAATCAACATCCTTTTGCCACCTTCCATCTTACATCTTCCCTTCTTGGTTTTTGTTAATTTTATTACTTTTGCTGGTATAGTCTATATTACTAACATTCTGAACAATATACAACAATGGATTTATCAATAGGTTCCACTTTACAGGGTTGTTGTCATGACAGTAAAAGTATAGCACTAGAACAGTGCCTGACACACAGTGAGCGTGTATTAACACCTATCAGATAGTGTATTAACAAGTATTGTGAAACACATTCCCAGGGTTGTTTTCATCCTAGTCGTACATTTCAACTGGCTGTCACATTCAGTTTCTCCATTCATCCCCTGGCCTGAAATTCATTCTCTAAGAGTTCCTCAAGAGATACTAATGGGAGTTAGATTTTCTGATCCTTATATGTTCAAAAGCATTCAATGCCTTTTACTTGAAAGAAAGCTTGGCTATGTAAAACATTAATAGCTGTTATTGAGCACTTATCAAAATCACAGGTTATCTATACTCATTATACAATTAGACCTCATAATAGTGCTATAAATCAAGCACTATTCATATCACCTTTTACAAATGAGATAATTAGGACACCGGCAAGTCAAACTTCCTTCTCTCAAAGACTTTGTTGGCATTATTGCACCGCTGTTATCTACCATTGAATGTGGCTTTGGAGAAATCTGAGGCCAATATGATTTATTTTCCCTTAAAGTTGTCTTGATCTTTTCACCTGGACGCTTAAAGGATTGTTTATTTCTGAAGTCCAGTAAAATTCAGTGGGATATGTCACAAGGGTCATTCTATGTCAGTTTTCTGAGAACATTGTGTGTCCCTTCAATCTGTAGATTAAAGTGCTCTTTCACTTATCTGAAGTTTCCTTGAATTCTACTTTGAATATTTTTTCTTTTCCACTTGTTCCGTTCTCCCTCATATGGACATGCTAGGTATCCTTTGTCTTCTATATCTATCATTTTATCTCAAATTCTTGTTAGTTCTTTTTAAATTTCCATTTCCTTTTGCTCACTTTTCTCAACCTAGCCCTCTTAAGTCTTACAGTGTTTTTATCCTGACCCCTTATTTCCCCCATTTATAGTACGGCTCTAATTTCTAGTACTCTTTCTTTTTCTTACTTTCTGAGTTCTGCTAGCTTATTTTACATTTCCATCTGTTGTCTGTTCATTATTTCTTCTGCTTTGAGGTCTTGTTTTAAACTGTTTCATTAGATCCTTTAGATTCATAGTGATATGTTTGGTTTGCTTCAGGGCAACATTTTCCTAGAAAATGTCTTTATCTGACATTTGCTTTTCCTGTTCCTTTCCTCCTTTTTCTTGTAGATTTGCTGTACAGATCTCATGCTTGCTTTATTTTGATTATTGCTCATTAGTGAATGAAATGCATTCCTCAACCAGCTGTTTGTACGAAGACCTAGTGGTGAAGCTGCTGTGGTGCAGAATTTGTACGTGCGTGTGTGTTGCGTGTGAGAAAGAGAGAAAAGGCGAGACAGAGAGACAGAGATACTCATCCAGATTGGGTTAGCCTGTGTATCTCCCCATCATGTAGTCTCTCCCAACCCCTATTTCATTAACAGACTGCCTCCAACATGGATAATATTTTTAAGGGTTTTATCATTTAGCAATGCGTTGCCCTGCTACTTCAAGATGCCAAGTAGAGTTTTTGGAAGTTTACACAGCTTGCCCCTTAAACCTTCATTGCAAACAAGGGTGATGGTACCACCTATTCAGTGCTCTGCGAGCTTTGAGAAGTGAGTTCACAGCAGGTATTTAATCTCAGCTTACTTCTGGACTGCTGTAATTTTTACTGAATTTGGCAAGCTGTCCGTATTTATCGTGCCTTAGAATTACTTTGGTACCTTATTTTATCAAAGATAGAGTTGGTGTTTCTCTTTCTTATTTTCTTTCTTGTTTTGGGGTGATGTCAAGGATGATAAAATGACAGAAGTAACTTTATTTTGTTATTTTAAAATATTTTGGTACTTTAAACTTTATCTTTAAGTTTATTTTAATGCCAGAGCCATTTTTTAAAATAGAGTGCCCCTATTCTTGGAGAGAGTAGGACCATACCACCTCAGACCATGTTAAGTGGGAAAGACAGTTTCAGAATTCTGTGCACACCCTGATTGCAACAAGAACTGTCATCATGACATAGCTAGTAAAGAACAGAGCTTGGATTCAAGTCCGAGTCTATCCAGATCCAAGCCTGAGTTCTTTGTACTGTAGGACTTTTCCTTAAAGAATATGGATATCTCTTTATGGTGTCTTTGTTATGTTTCTTTTTGTGAGCATTTCTCTATTAACTGCTTCTTTATTTCCTGGTTTTTAGTGTGATAAGTACAAGACTGGAGTTATTGATGGGCCTGCATGTAACAGCCTTTGTGTTACAGAAACTCTTTACTTTGGAAAATGCTTATCCACCAAGCCCAGCAATCAGGTATGGACGTTATGAATAAACATTCCAGATTGACGGTGCGCTCTAATTTTACCATGAACTAAGACATTGTTAAAAGAATTCTTGAACCAGAGCTTTAGGACATTTGATGTATTTCAATTTTTACATGATTTGATTCACTCATCTAACAGACGTTTATTAATCCCCTGTTCCCAGTATATTCCAGACACTGTTTTAGTTACTAGGAATACAATGGTGATTTAAGATGGATAAGATTATCTCCCTTATGGATCTTACATTAGCCCAGATGGATGGGGAACATAAAGAGTTGATAGGTAAATAACTAAGCAAGACAGTTACAGAATGTGGTGTTTTATATAGGGTATACACAGGGCAAACTGATGGAGAATGAGAGGGATGGGGATGGTAGAGATGTGCGTTAGAGGAGTGATCAAGGAAGACCTTTCTAAGATAACATTTGAGCTCATACCTGAATGAGAAATTAAACTACAGGCCTGGGCAAAGGACAGAATGAGCTAAGACACAAAAGAAGAACTATAAATTATAAATAGCTGGTAAACATAGTGAAAAAAATGTTATACCTCACTTATCAAAGAAATATGCATTAAAACAATAGGATACTATTGGGCTAGAAGAAAATAAAACAAAACATCAACACTAGCTATCCTTGCTCAGTGGAATATTGCATGATTTGTATGCTCATCTTTTTTCTTTATAGTTTTTCTAAATTTCCAATATAAATACACATTACTCTTGTAATTATAGAAATTTACAATAAATTTTACGTTGACAATACTAATCATGTTTAAGAGGATTTCTGAAACAAAGTCCAACAGTTGAGTATCTACTACACGCTAGGTGCTGTTAAAGGCATTGGGAGAGACTATGAGGAACAAGACAGACAAAGCCTCTGGCCTCATGTGCTTTGTGTTCCATATGAGAGAAGACAGACAATAGTGTCAATAGATTAATAAATAAGATCATTTCAAACAATGCTAAAGGCTGTGGAGAAAATAAAGTGGTGTATTGGGTTAGAGAGTGACCTGAGATGGAAGAGGGATCTATTCTAGATAGGGAGTTATTACTGTCTAAGGTGACATCTGAGCTGAGACTTGAATGATGTGAAGGAGCCAACCATATGAAGGTCTGTGAGAGTGCATTCCAGGCAGAACCAACAGCAAGTGAAGCAGGTCATGAAGCAGGAATAGATTGATAAGTTCAAGGAGCAGAAAGAAGACCAGCGTAGCTGGGATATTGATACCCAGGGAGTAAGTGGTAAAGACCCAGTTGGAGAAGTAGTCCATGCCAGCTCATATGAAGCCTAGTAAGCAATGGAAAGGACTTGGAACTTTATTCTAATTGAATTAGAGGATTTGAAGCAGGGGAGTGATATACCCTCCTTTGTTTGGATTCATATTATACTAATATTCATATAATCCTATTTGTTTTTTATATGTAAGTAAGAGCCAACTGCCTTGGTTCAAATGCTGGCTTTGCCACTGTTGTGTTACTTTCAGCATGCTATCTCACTTCTCTCTGCTTCAGTCTCCCCATCAGTAAAATGAGGATAATAATAGTATCTACTTCACAGAAGTAAAATAATAAAGTAAATTAGTAGACTATAGAACATAGTAAGCACCATATAATGTTAGTTTGATAAATAGCTAAATGGTTAATAATGACTAATTCTGGGGTGTGGAATTAGGGAAATGGATATGGAAGAACTTTGCTTTTCATCCTTCTATGTAATTTGACTTTAAAAAATATATTTATAGCTATAGACACTTACATTTAGAAACAAGAAAGATCTCAAATAAACAACCTAACTTTACAACCTGAGGAACTAGAGAAAGAACAAACTAAACCCAAAGCTAGCAGAAGGAAGGAAGTAATACAGATTGCAGTAGAGATAAAGGAAATAGAGCATAGAAAAACAGTAGAGAAAATCAATGAAACCAAAAATTGGTTCTTTGAAAATATCAATAAAGTTGACAAACCTTTAGCTAGATGAATTAAGAAAAAAATACAGAAAACTCAAATTACTAAAATCAGAAATGAAGTGGGGAGTTACTAACTGATTCTACAGAAATAAAAAAGGATTATGTGAAAGCACTGTGAACCGTTGTACCTCAACAAATTTGATAACCTAGATGAAATGGGCAAATTCCTGGAAACACAAAACCTACCAAGAAATAGAAAATCTGAATAGACCCATAACTAGTAAGGAGATTGAATCAGTAACCTAAAGTCTCCCAACAAGAAAAGCCCTGGATCTGTTGGCTTCACTGGTGAATTTTACCAAACATTTAAGGAAGAACTAACACTAATCCTTCTCAACCTTTTGCAGAAAAATTGAAGAGGAGGGAAAACTTCCTGACTCATTCTATGAGGCCAGCATTACCCTGATAAAGACACTACAAAAAGAGAAAACTACAAACCAATATCCCTTATGAATATTGATGCAAAAATCCTCAACAAAATACTAGCAAACCAAATTCAGCAACATATTAAAAGCATCATATACCATGACAAAATGGGATTCATTCCTGGATTGCAAGGATGGTTCAACTTAGGAAAATCAATCCATGTAATATACCACATTAATAGAATGAAGGAAAATAAAAAGATTATCTCATTTCATACAAAAAAAATATTTGACAAAATTCAGTAGGATCCTGGGGGCGGACCTATACACCGCTTATCAAGCTGTGCTGTGGCGGGATCCCACATAGACAAACTAGGACTTATAACTAAGATATGCAACTATGTACTGGGGCTTTGGGGAGAAAAAAAAAAAAGAGGAAGATTGGCAACAGATATTAGCTCAGAGCCAATCTTCCTCACCAAAAAAGCCAAAAAACCCAGAACAGAAAATAACAAGTGTTGACAAGGATGTAGAGAAATTGGAACCCTTGTATACTGTTGGTGGGAGTGTAATATGATATAACCACTGTGGAAAACAGTATGGCAATTTCTCACAAATTAGAAATGGAATAACTCTGTAATCTAGCAATTCCACTTCTGGGTATATATCTAAAGAATTGAAAGCAGGGTCTCAAAGAGCTAATTGTACACCCATGTTCGTATCAGCATTCTTCACAATAGCTAACATGTGGAAGCAACCCAAGTGTCCATTGGTGGATGAATGAAATGCAAAATGTGGTATATACCTACAATGGCCTATTTTCAGCTTTAAAAAGGAAGGAAATTCTGACACATGCTACAATATGGATGAACCTTGAGGACATTATGCTAGTTGAAATAAACCAGTCACAAAAACCCAAATTCTGTATGATTCCACTCATATGAAATAGTTAAGAGTAGTTAAAATCATTAAGACGGAAAGTAGAATAGTGATGCCAGGGGCTGGGGGGAGGGGAGACACTGGGAGTTATTGCTTAACGGGTATAGAGTTTCAGTTTTACAAGATGAAAAGAGTCCTGGAGACGGATAGTGGTGATGGTAGCACAAGTTCATGAATGTAATACCATTGAACGGTACACTAAAATGGTTAAGATGTTAAATTTTATGTTTCTGATATTTTACCACAGTAAAAAAAATTGGAGGGGCTGGCCCCGTGGCCAGGCAGATAAGTTCGCACGCTCCAGTTCGTTGGGCCAGGGTCTGCTGGTTCGGATCCTGGGCGCACAGACCTATACACCACTCCTCAAGCCGTGCTGTGGCAGCGTCCACATAGAAGAACTAAAGGGACTTATAACTACAATATACAACTATGTACTGGGGCTTTGGGAAGAAAAAAGAAAAAAAAAAAGAGGAAGATTGGCAACAAACATTAGCTCAGGGCCAATCTTCCTCACACATGCAAAAAAGGACTTCACTGGGCTATCTGGAAGAATGGCCACATCCTTGCTGACAAGAAAAAAAAATTGGAAAAAAAAATAAATTGTTGATCATGGTCAAAACATATATATTTAGGCATTCATTAATTTTATAACTTAAAAAATTAAGAGAAAAGCTTTGGAGTATGATTTCAAATTTGCAAATCAAAAAGAAACTTGCAGCTCAGTCTCAGTGTTCTGTTGCTTGGCTGTGTGTGTGTGTTTAGAGAAGGGGGACACTAAAAATATAGTGATAGATTAGAGTTTTCTACTCACCCTAAAGCAGGACTTGTCATTCTGTTTCACATAGATGTACTTAGGGATTTGGGATAATCTACCAGGTGTTGTGAAATGTCAGATGGAACAAGCACTTCATCTTGATTTTGGAACTGAATTGGAACCAAGAAAAGAAATAGTGCTATTTGATAAACCAACAAGGGGAACTACTGTCCAGAAATTCAAAGAAATGGTCTACAGTCTCTTCAAAGTGAGTATGTCCATTCATATGGTGCTGGCGTGCAGCAGCAGCCTCTTCTGGAGGAGCTGGCAGACCTCATCCTAAACCTTAAAATGCTGCTGTTCTTCGACCTGAATTATTTCCTATTTTGAGGAAATAATTCAAATAAAAGAAAAAATCTGTGGAGGATGTTTACTTTAACATTATTTATAATAGCTAAAAATGTCCAAATAGGAGAGGGGAGTTCATTAAGTTAGATGGGCTTCTTTGTAGTTTGAAATTATAACTAATACACTTTTTTTTAAAGGTGAAATAAAATTGGTACACCCTAATAGCAAATTAATTCTTAAAAATTTAGGGGCTGGCCCCGTGGCCGAGTGGTTAAGTTCGCGCGCTCTGCTGCAGGCGGCCCAGGGTTTCGTCAGTTCGAATCCTGGGCGCAGACATGGCATTGCTGGTCGGGCCACGCTGAGGTGGCATCCCACATGCCACAACTAAAAGGACCCACAACCAAGAATATACAACTATGTACCGGGGGAGAAAAAGGAAAAAAATAAAATCTTTAAAAAAAAATTTAAAGTAATACTTATACAAGGATTAAATAGAAATACTAAAAGATGAAAATAACTACACTTTTGGAGACAATGTCTTTTTTCTCATTTCTATTGCTCTTATATTTTCACTGAAAATCTTTCTTTTCTTTGAACAGTTTACATTTTCCAGACTATTTTATCGCAGAGAAACTTCACAGGGACATACTTTTTAACCTTCATTACTGGAACAATACAACTTGAACAAAATAATTCTGTTAATGTGATAACTACAAAATAAGAAAGAGTAATTTTCAGTTGACCCTTATTATAACTTTGGATATAAGCACATTACAGTTTTGCAAGTAAATGTTTAAGACAAAGGATAATTACTTAGTGTCTTGGTTAACTATAGTTATCTACAGGGTCTAAGGGGGCTACAGGAGTTAGGGTAGCCATTTCTTAATGAACAGACAAATAATACTTAGTGAAGTGGGTTTTACCGCAATTACATAAAACATAGTCCTGACTCGCTCAGCAAGCATGCTAACTATTTGGAGATGTTCCTCTGTGGGGATTCAGTAACAAGATTATTACTTAGCATGGTAATAATCGCCACAAAGGAAGTTCGTATGTATGTTACATAGGAGATATTTTTCATTCCGTGTAATTAGCCAAATTCTTATTTTTACAGGCAAAGTTGGGCGACCAAGGAAACCTCTCTGAACTGGTTAATCTGATCTTGACGGTGGCTGATGGCGACAAAGATGGCCAGGTTTCTCTGGGAGAAGCGAAGTCAACATGGGCACTTCTTCAATTAAATGAATTTCTTCTCATGGTGATACTTCAAGATAAAGAGCACACCCCCAAATTAATGGGATTCTGTGGTGATCTCTATGTGATGGAAAGTGTTGAATATACCTCTCTTTATGGAATCAGCCTCCCATGGGTCATTGAACTTTTTATTCCATCTGGGTTCAGAAGAAGCATGGATCAGTTGTTCACACCATCATGGCCTAGAAAGGCTAAAATAGCCATAGGACTTCTAGAATTTGTGGAAGATGTTTTCCACGGCCCCTATGGAAACTTCCTCATGTGTGATACTAGTGCCAAAAATCTAGGATATAATGATAAGTATGATTTGAAAATGGTGGACATGAGAAAAATTGTGCCAGAGACAAACCTGAAAGAACTTATAAAGGATCGTCACTGTGAGTCTGATCTGGACTGTGTCTATGGCACGGATTGTCGAACTAGCTGTGACCAGAGTACAATGAAGTGTACTTCAGAGGTGATACAACCAAATTTGGCAAAAGCCTGTCAGTTACTCAAAGACTACCTACTGCGTGGTGCTCCAAGTGAAATTCGTGAAGAATTAGAAAAGCAGCTTTATTCTTGCATTGCTCTCAAAGTCACAGCAAATCAAATGGAAATGGAACATTCTTTGATACTAAATAACCTGAAAACATTATTGTGGAAGAAAATTTCCTACACAAATGACTCTTAGTTCATACATTGTTGACCACTGTAGGAAATTTACCACAAGAAAAAATTTTGAACATTTAAAAAAATGGCTGATTCAGATCCCTGCCAGTGACACACCACTTTTTCCTGGTCCTAAGAAGCCATCACCTTAAAATACATTTTAATTGCTTAAATGGCAGGAAGTATTATAAAGAAATCAGTAGGTCCAAAAAGATTTCATTCTGCCCTTTTAGAAACCCTGGTACATCTCCTAGTACATTCACTGTGTAACTGTCTTGACTGACTTAAGATAACGCTGTGAAAAGCCTCATTCCATAATGTCAGAAGTGAGTTTTATAGATTTACCTTAGCCAAAATACCATTGCTGGAAAATTGTTTGCACTGAAGCTGCTGTTCAAGAAAATTTATAAATTTACTAATGTCTTAGCATGGTGAAGTTTGCACATTAACAGAAATTAAGACTGCAAGCAGGTAAATTAAAATCACTCATTTATAAACAGATGTTGGGTTAATAGCATGGTTTGTTGTATTATAGACTTAAGCACATTTAAACTCATTTAGACATCAGATGTTATGTGGCTTCAGAATGTTGAGTGGCTCTTACTGAGACCCTTAAAATTCAAAACCTATCAAGATGTGTTCTACTTGGCAATGTTTAATTGCCAATTTTAGAGGCTGAAAATGGATAAGCTTTCATCATTGTCGATTCAAAAGATCCACATTAGTATCGACGAGCCAAGTCCTTCAAAAGTGACATCTTAAGGCTATAGACCCAATCCAGATCCACTTACCTTCAATCTGAACTATGGGGAAGTGGGACATTAAGAGCAGGACTCTGAAATCAGAACTTTTTAATAATTTTCCGTTTTCAAACAGTATTATTCCCTGTTGGCCAAAGGGCTATTTCTTAAGAGGCATGTAAATTTATCTAACATTTTCTCTCATGTAAACTTGATATACAAGGGTCAATATTTGCTCCTTTTTCATGTTTATTCAGATCTGGCATGTACTTTTCAACATTGCCATAAAATTAAACCCCTTCTCTTGTGGAGAAAAGACTCAGTATTTTCTGCTCAAAGGTTTCACGTGGTTAAAGTGAATACATTAAAATAACGTGATGGTCACTTCATTGGACAGACTTCTCTCAAAGATTAAAGCCACAGATTACCACCAGTTTTGCTTACTGTAAAATTGTGTGCTCTGAAGGCACTTTTTCTTCCTGCTAATCATCTAGTTACTATAAATGAGTGGAAGAACTATTTCTTAATGGAAGGCGGGTCTGTTGCTTCTCAGATTTTTTAGGGAGAGCTGTACATCACACAATTTCAGGGATAATGCTTGTCAGGGAGGGCAGAAGCCCAAGAAGCAGGTGTGAACTTTGAGTCAATATGCAAGACAACTTTTTCTGGAAAAAGCTATACTTGTTTCTTGAAGAAAAACTTCAGGGTATTTCCTACAGTTTCATTAAGAAGAGCTTAACACAGAAATACGTGCTAAGACAATAAGTTTATTATTATCGATAGTTTATCTGAAAAATCTTCATAGAAAATTGTGGTTTGGTTTATTAGCTCTCAGCAGCCCGCTCTTGAGCTCTGAGGAAGCTAGCCTTCTTTTGAGCTACCCGATCTTTCTTCTGGGCAAGAGACATCTTGGGACGGTTCCACCTACAAAAAAAAGTAAAAGACATGAATGTAATTTTTAAAAGCCATAGCTCAAGAGCATAGAGAATATTAAATTTTGAAAAAGACAAGGACTTTTTCAAGGTGGAGGTCGAATAACCCCAATTCCAATACATGCACTTAGTATGACCTTAAGCTGACTTAACCAAACCCCAACTTTTGTGTCAATTGCCCTATTACCACACAGGGCCAAAAATCAAATAAACACGTAATACAACACTTCCACTCGGTAAGTATTATTTTCTACTCCATTCAAAGATCAAAATGTGAAAGATTAACAGAAAGTAATTCTCTTCTTTAGTTAGCCTAGTAAAGAATGCAGTAACTGGCAGTCACGCTGTACTGGGATAGAATGGGCCACCTCAGTAGCTTCTGAGGCTAATATGTTTCTATCACCACCATTACTTTAGCAAACCTGGTTCCCTTCACTTCTGCAACATCATGCAGAGTTAGTGATCGAGTTTGCACAACTTCACCAAGTCTGAAACAAGGCAGGGAACCCTCCCAACCTCTTTCTCCTCAAGACAAGAGTAAGACACATACCTCTTCTTTTTAACTTCTTTCTTAGGCTTCTTCTCATAGACCGGATTCTCTCGTATGGCAGAATGAGCTTTCTTGTACATCTCCTCCATCTGAAACAAAGCAAAGCAAACAGTACTTGGTTCCATTTCCTATGTCCTAAACATTAATATAACGTACCATATTCCACTACTCGCTCTGCTTCGTCTTTCTAAGCCAGATTCTCCAAAGGAACTAAACTACGGTGAACGGTGGCATCTGCTTAAATTTCTAAATGTAACCCACCTTTTCCTGAGAAATTCCCAATGTTTATACTGTAGGCAATGTGAATTGATACAATTCACAAAACGCAATCTTCTTCAAGAAGAATCTGCACATATTTCTGAGGGATTTGGCTATACTTCTTGAGACATTCAAGTTTAGAGTAAATTGATTTGTGTAGAAACACATTTTATGCTCATTTAAAATACCATCTGACCTAAATTCTTTCATTCAAGTGAGGATACATGCCAAAAAAAAGTATTTAAGATGTTAACACGAATAGTATATGGCGCCAACAAGCAAATGCCAAATTCCTTTGTCCTCCCACATTCCCCAGATTTACATTTTCTACTGGTATCTGATAGGTCTTTCAAACCTAGTCTCAGTATTACATACCAGGGACCTCTTCTATCAACTACTATGAGTCACTACTATCTGACAGCAATATTAGGCCTCTGTGCAACCAGAAAGAGGTGTGAATTTCCCGAGAAAACCCTGAAAGGCTTTCCAGTTAGACATGTTAATGAGAATTTTGTTCTAAAACTCACCAAAAAACAATGTTGCAACTCTCTGAATTGTTTCAATTACCAGCTCCAAATAAATGACTACTGATTTTTGTGGAAGATCGAGTCATGAAGAATAGCTATGAAATGCCTGAGTGTTCATTATCAAAAGCTAGTAACAATTACAGCCCCCTGAAGAATGAGTCAAGGTAATGCAAGCCTCTAAAATTACTCATTCAATGTGGAAAAAATGTGATTACTACATGCATTTGTATAAAGCTTAGCAAAGGAAAATAATGCAAAATTTTTCACCGCATTTCTACCTAAATCCCTTTTGAAAGTTAATTTCTCTATCTCTTTTAGCACTCTATTACAGTTCTCCGCTGTATTTAACGAATCCATTTAATGACTTCAAATGTAGTCATCCGACAAATCTAAGCATCCCAGTTCATTCCTTCCAAGAGACCAGACAAGTAGGAAATACAACCACGTATGCAGATAATGCCATGAATTTAGGTAATAAAGATCACTTCCTGTTGGAGACACACTAGATGTCTGCAGAGGACTTCACTAGGCATACATAAGAGGCCTCCATAGATAAAATTAATGAGCTAGCTGGAAAGTACATTAGCCAAAGAGTGGCCAGCTGAAGTATAGCATGTATATAGGAAAGCATTAGGAAACAGACATGTGAAAACAGATTGGGAGTTTGAAAAATTTTGAGCAAGTGTGACATGACCAGAGCAAGACGTGGCTTAGAAAGGAAAATTTTGCAGGCCAAGGGGAATCATAGTCTAAAGTAAAAGGCCTTTTTCCCAAGGTGATGTAATAATGTAAAGGAATATACTCATGTGAAAATTAACATGCATCTACCTTAACATAAAACTACCCTTTCCCTAGCTCAAAAACTCAAGCTGTGTGTTTATTCAGCCCTACTGTGTACTAAGCATACAAATAACATAAACTCATCTTTTCCCATTACAAACCTATTTCAAAAATAATTTTCATAGGCAAAGCTGTACCAAAGTAGACTATGCACTAACAGAAAAGAATCTAATAAACAAAACAACTACTTGATATGTAATCCACTGATTTATATGTAATTCTATATTTCTAAGAGTTTTATAATAGTATGATTTGTGTGTTCCATGCTTTCACTATAATTTTAAAAATGGAATTATTATCTTCAGTTACTCCAATGTGTTCATAGCTAGCCATGGACACTCAGCTTTAGGGGTGAGAAATTTTCCAGCATTAAGCTCACTTTCGCAAACATGGTTCCCTCCACGTCTACATCACCACACAGAACTCGTGACAGAATCTGTACGTCTCCCATTCTGTGTGCATGCCTGAGACATTCAAAAAGTCCAGAACATAAACACTTATTTACTAAGAGGAAGAACCTTTCTTCCCCATGGCCTAAAATGAGTCAAGTTGAGTAACTAGCACCTCGTATCAGACAGGGTCGATTATAACTATGACCACAGGAATGAAATCTATAAATACGTAACAGCCAAATGCATAAACACCATTAAAGGCTTTAGATTTGGATGCTTGAAGCCTGCCATCCTTCAGCATCTAAAAGATTTCTAAAAGCAGCTGACAAGTTTAGCTCATTTTACTACCTTATCTGACTTTTAACCTACCCTGGGTTCAACATCCCAATTTCACGTCATTTCCTTTTAAGCTAAGTACAGCTTATTTGACTCTATCTGTACTTATGAACATGCCCACATTCAACTTTTAACTGTTAACCTGAAATAAAACCATATAATGTACCCACCAAAAACAAGTAGTAAACCTGGTTCTATAATTAACCAATACTAGCATTTTTAGTTAAATTTTTTACCATGTCTGGAGTTACGTTGTTCTTTATGTACTGAGAGAACTGTTTCTTGTAGGCATCCTCATCTTCTTCCATCAGGTAACGCATATAATCTGCAACGTTCTGTCCCATGATGTGCTTCCGATGTACTTCTGCATTGAATTCCTTGCTCTCTGAATCATAACCAGGGAATCGTTTGGTACTAAAATAAAGTTTTTCATATTTTAGTATCTAATGGTTGAAATCAGTTCACTAGCAGGAATTCATTTCAGTAGCTGCCATCAGTCCCGTCTTGAAACAATTAATTGATCATATGCAACCAAAGGACCAACTACTGACTGCTCAGTGAGTGGGATATCATCATTCAGCAGCTAATCTCTGAATTCCAGGATAGAAAATCATGCCACAAGCACCTTTAAAAACCATTAAATGAACCAAGGCTTTCCACCACTATGAAGTTAGTTCTCCTCATTATCATAGGAAAGGGTTTAAAAATGCTCCTCAAAAATCCTAGAATTTCTCAGTGGGCCTTCAGGATACATGGGAATGAGTACATATCTAATAGGTGCCTTGCAAGAGAACCGTAAGTCCTCAAAAAAAAAAAAACCCTCCCCCACCCCACACTATAAAAAGTAAGTTCCAGTTAGGTTACATTTTATAGGCTTACCAAAAAAATACATATATATACACATATACAGAAAAAAATTTTTGGTTGTTAAATCACCAACCACTAAAATATCCCTAAGGTAATAAGTCACTTTAAAATGTATCTATTCAACAATAACAAAAATTAACTCAAACCAAAAGACAGACAAAACAATCTACTTAGCTCCTAAGAATGGCCTACAACCTTATTTCCAGTTGAAAGTTTAGAAATCTGTCATAAGCCTTTTTCTCAAACTCTTTTTTTTCCTAGAGTCCACATTTTTCCATATTCAGTGAAGCAATTTTCATTCTGAATGAAAAAAAGAAAACGCATTCGGAGTGGGGTGGGGGGGAGTGCTCATTTCTAACCATAACTAAGCTACACACAAAAGGTAGTGAGTTTCAACCCCAGCTCTTCCACTCATTGGCTGCAAAGCCTTGGACAAATCCTTTACCTCTGAACCCCAGTCTCCACTGATAAAATACATTACAGTTCATTCCTGCCCAGCCAAGTTCATTTTGCACAGTACCTAGCATATAGCAGGCACACAACAATAGCACTATTACTTCAATAGTTTCCAAAGTCCGACCAGTTAGAAACAGTGAAGTTATCAGAGTCCAGGCAATGAGGCCCTCAATACTATATTACCTGTGAGGGATAGACAAGCCTCCATCCACAGCTCCTTTCAGGGCCCCAAAAACCTTATTTCCGGTAGTCGTTCTGGCAAGCCCTGCATCCAAGTAGCAGGTGAAGGCACCAGGTTGACCATCGATGCTTTCCACATTGTATTCATCTCCGGTCACCTCCACTTGGCCTTCATAGATCTTGTCCATGCCAAACCTATTGAGAAGCTATTAACAAAGAAGCCAGTCTAAATACCTGTCTGAATATATTTAAACAACTCTAGTACCTCAAGCCACAGCTTTAATGCCTCTGACAAAAAATTTCCTTCCAATTCAATTATCCCTTTATCCCAATCTACTTTTAAACATCGATTTTTAAATGCTACAAAAAGAAATTTCATTCAATTTCACCCTCAATTATTAACTTTAACAGCTTCCGAATCTGCTACATGTCCATACTTGATTTATGTAGCAATCAATTAAGATGTACAATACTAGAATTTGACTCATATTACTCAAGGGAGGTGATCTCCAGTCCTTCAGTCATACAATTATGCATTACTTAAAGACAGGGATACATTCTGAAAAACGTGCAGTTAGGTTATTTCATCATCGTGTGAACATAATAGTGTACTTACACGAACCCACATGGTTTAACCTACTACACATCTAGGCAATACAGTACTAATCTTATGGCACCACCATCGTATATGCGGTCTGTCATTGACCAAAACATCATTATGCCGCAAATGACTAGATTTGACTATAAAAATTCACCAACCAAATATTAAATGTTATCACACATAGTTTTATTTAATTTGATTAAAATCGTAGGAATAGGATCTTGGGCTGAAAAGAACATCTTTTATGGTTCTACTCTTCAACCACATTATGTTAATACGGGCCACTCCCGTTAGTACACATCTAGCTATGGTTCCGCAAGTAGTGCCTGCACCAAGTTGCTTTCGTACATGAGAATGTTTCCCGCCCCACTCAAACATGGCAGTGAAAATGTGGGTCCCCAACAATGACGCACACTTAACAATTCCATTGCAAAACAAAGTCAGTAATTGAGAAAACAAAAATAAGGCAAAAATCACATTTTCATTTCCTTTCTGCACATTACAGGAAATGCTGCCACCCACAGGCAAAGATGATTAAAACAAAAAATGAATCCCCCACCGACACCTGAGCTCCAAAAAGTTTAAGACATTGCTTCTCAAAATCTTACGTGCATATAAATCACTTGGACATCTTATTAAAATACAGTTTCTGAGGGTCTGGAGTAGAGTCTGTGTTTTTAATGTATGTTGATGGTCAGAAGATCTATACTTCTCACTACGTCTGTCCAACAAGGTAGCTACCAACTAGCCACAAGTGGCTATTCAAATTTAAGTTACAAATTCAGTTTGTCAGTAGCACTAGACACATTTAAAGTGCCCAAAGGCCACATGTGGCTAGTGGCTACTATATCAGACAACACAGATTACAGATCTCCATCACGACAGAAAATTCTATCGACCTAGAGATACCAAAGAAACAGGGCAGAAAACAGGAAAACTGCTTCACCAGATTATTAGAACCAGCACTGCCACCTCAATCAAACTTTGTATTTATAAAATCATCTTCTCTAATGATGCCCTTACAAGCCACAGGGCAACAGCAGGCAATCCCCGACCCCACAGCTGAGGGTTATCTTATCCATGTGTAAACATGTGTCTCGCAGGCAAGTCCAAACAATGAGCTATTAATTAAAGTAATCTTGTACATACCCTGCGGGCCAGCAGCAGGCCAGTACAATATGCTGCAGCATAGTTTGTGAGGCCAACCTTCACACCATACTTTGGGAGTTCATGAGCATAAGCTGCACAAACTATCATATCTCCTTCTATACGGGCATAAGCAATCTATAATAAGAGAAAAACCAGGTTAGTAACCGGTGCTTTTATCCTTTGCTTGTCCTAAGTGCCTTCTTTTTCAAAGTACTTAGAAAAAAAGGGCTGGACATAGATTTGCATCACTTGAAATTTGTCAAACCCACTCCCCACTACAGTTTATGGCTTCATCACCTATAGCAGGTAGGTTTATGAGTCTGTAAATATGTCTGATTAATGTCACAGTACATAAGGCTAGAATTACCACATACACATTGAACATTAAAATGCCTTTGGAATAAATTACACTGTAGTACCTTACTTCTAAATTCTGAAAAGACTCTTAGCTAGGTTAGCTGGTGAATTAAAGAGGCACTCTGAAAAGTCAAAAAGGAATCTCCAATTATTTAAAATATCAAACAAGCATAAATAGGTCCAACAATGTTTCAGACACCTAATGCTTAATCATCTAAACTTAGGTATGAAGACACTGCCTTCACAATCAGCAACTGACTTTGCCCAGAAAAGAGGTATGTCTGCCTCCTGCAAGGCTCAGCAAATCTCAACTATGAAAATTTTCCCTAGTTGTACAAGTTCTGAAAACTACCTTCTAGGAGCAAACCACCACTTTCTGGAGGTCTTTTATGTGGCAGACAGCTTCATACATATTTACTAAGACCTATTTCAAACAATAAGCAGGAGTAAGAACAATCTTAAGAGCCTAACTTCACAACTACCTGTCTATGCAAAGGGCAGTGGATGTGGGGCATGTAAGGCCATAGTAAGCCATGTAAAATAAAGTCAGGACTTGATTCGTGACAAATCTTATTATTCTACCCGAACTGGAATGGGCAAGAACCTAGTTTCAAATTTATCCTCCCACCCCACCATCCCAACAAAACAGCATAAATTTCTCCTCCTTCCCCCCAGTTAGGAAAATGAAGGAGACTGAACTGGGTCAGCACTGCCAAGCACAGCTGACCTTTAGAGTATTTCTTAAAGTACCAATTTCCCAGGCTCCAACTCCAGACCTACTACAAGGAAAAGAACTACTCACTCAATCGATGTTTTTGGAAGGCCAAGCACTAGACTAAATGGACCTTCTTAACCCATACCTGTGTTTTGCTTCCCAAGTACCACTTCTCTAGCGCAGCGAGGGGAGGGAGGGAGGGGTCAGACCCATTGCTTGAGTCCAGAACACAACTTACCTGACAAATGATATCTCTGTTGGTCACACGAACTATCATCCTGTATTTGGGTGTGTTGTACTTATTTTTATCCTGGATTACTAGGCGTTTCCGAGCATAGTAATCAGTTTTACCCTCTGAAAGAAAAAAATACCTTAAGAAAGTCTACTCC